GTTGCTCTCAATCTTCTCACCATCATGTGCCCCTAATTGAGGCCCAGTTCAGCTTTCCCCATCTCTACAAAGCTCTGCCTACTCCAGCATGAACTGATCACGCCCTTCTCTCCATTTATTTTGTTTTATTTCTAGTCTTGTCTCCACCAACTAAATTTTATGATTCTTGAAGACAAGGATGGTGCTTTATATGACTCTCTGATTCCAAGAAAGACCTGTCCCTATACTGCCCACGTAGCAGGTGCCTGGTACAAGCTCACTGAGAGTTAATTAATTAATACAGATTTTCAGGAAGCTTCCAGATGGACTATAAAGTTTGTTTCACACTAAACCATCAAAAATGACAAGCCCCCTTTTGCCCACTGTATGCCTTCCCCTTATTTCTCACCTTAGTGGGTGTTCTTGTCTCAAGGACATGACCCCAACTCTATCAGTTAGGATGCTTTTGGGTAGAAGGAACAGAGAGCTTCAACTCACAATGGCTTCAGCAATAAGTAAGGCCAGAGGTGATATCATCTGAAGGCAGATGCAGATCAGCTGCCAGGCGATACTGTCCTTAGAGACCCAAGAACCTTCCATCTTACCACCCAGCCATCCTGGACGCTGGCCTCTCCTAGGGATGATAGCAAGATGACACATCAGCACCAGGCACTCGTGGCAAAGTGCACAGGAAGAAGGGGCACTATCTCTTCCTGACTGTCCTTCTTAGGAGAGCGTCAACCTTTCCCAGACCCTTCCCCCCAACACACACTGCTTTCCCTCACATCTCATTGGTCAGGAGTGGTGCACATATCCTTTACTTAATCAATCACTAGGCACAAATGACCCCACTGCCAAGCATCACTACTGCTCCTCCAAACTCTGGTGATACACCCACCCAAAAGGGCACAACCACTAAAATGGGGGGATTAGCTTTCTTTTCCCTCTTCTGTGAATCTGATAAAGTAGTGCAAAAATTCCTTCGAAATTTTAGTGAAAACAACTGTAGTCAATGGTGTCAGTGCCCCGCCAGTATTTCTTGGGCCTTATTATTGCAGTATGTGACAACCAACTTCAAATCCCAATGTCTATATCTCTGCATCTGACAATGTAGGAAGGCCACTCTGCCCCCAGGAAACAGCCAGAAGTGCTAGGGCATCATCATCCCAACCTCCAGCAGCCCTCAACCCAAGATTCTCAGGAGATGGCGTATGAATACCCCAAATCCTCAGACCTAAGGGGGAGGATAACTCTGAGATGTGTGTTCCATAGTGTTTCCCAGGTTTCCCCACAGGATTAAGCTCCAGGCCCCCCTGGCTCACTTCTCCACCTCCCTACTGCTGTTCCCCTCACATCCCAGAATCCTCATCTCAAGGTCTGCTTCTGGAAGAACACAAGCTAGGACTTCCAGTTAAACTTACAACCCTCTCTCCCCTCGTAAGCCAGGCATGGCTCATCTATGAGGGGACTAGACAAATCTGGGAGGAGATACTGAGTTTGTGTCCCAAGCATCGTCTCTGTCCGCTCCAGGTGGAAGTGCCTGGCACCGACTAGACCCTCTACACATGCTGGCTCCTTCTCTTCCTTCTTTTCCAGAATCACTCTCCTAGTAGAGGGAGAACAACCTGACCTCTCCCTTTCATTACTTACGGAGGCTTATTGTCATGTAATTTAAGGAGCTACTCTTTACTCACAAAAACAAATGGAGGGGGAAAGGTCAGGGGTGGGACAAAGGAAAGAAGAGACAAGGAAAAACAAAGATCCCAAAATATTATCTAGAAAAGGTCCTGGTCTTTCTGAGGGAGATTTAGCAGTTGAAGAGGATGCTGCATGAATGGGTGTGGACTACAGGAAGCAAATTTTTCATTTCTTTTTAATGGAGGGAATATCAACATGACTGTCCTTAAGAAGTCCTGACTCTGTAATTATACCAAAGAATCTAGCGATATTTAACTCATGCTGCAGCTTTTCCTGGTTCTTTGCATCTTAAGCTTTGGGGAGTAGAGGCCACTCGTGGTCACTTCTCGCAGATCATTACCTTCTCTGGGACAATCCTGATGTCAGGCCTCAATCGCTCATCCCAAACTCTTGGGGCCAGATGTGTTTCAGAATTTAGAATGTATTTGAGACATATAATTTGGTGCACATACCACATCTTGCCCAGCACCCGCAGTGGGATCTGGGGCATCTCATGATCAATGGCATTAATATTTTTGCAGCAGCACGTATGCATATTCACACCAAGTGAGATCAATAAAGGCCATAAATAGCCTCCCCTTAGTGCAAGTCAGCTGCTTCTGGCAAATGAGATGTTAGGTCAGATTTTGCTGCTATTTCGATTATAACTAAATTTTGGTTTTCAGAGCTTTTTGGATCTTGAGGTTGTAGATAAAGGAGTATGGACCAGTAGAGGCATGTTTTCATAGCAATATATTAACTTTTTGAAAAGTCAGTGAATTCCAGCTCTCACCCTGAGTGAGACCTCACCAATTTCCCATTTGTGAGAGATGGGGCTAGAAAGACCCCGCCCTGACTGCCTGGGCTGGGCTAGATTAGAATACTATGACAGGCTGTGTCATCATAGCGTTGAGGGGAAGGGGGTCCCCTGTGAAGCCAGAAACTGCTGGAACCCAAGGAGTCAGCCAGCAAGAAGGTGGTCAAGGCAGTCCTCAAAAAGCCATATCAAGTGTGACATCTTAGGGACAGGTATGGGGACAACATGGTCAAAGCATAGGCTGAGAACAAGGCAGGAGTAGAAGGACTGGACATTCCTCTTTGGGACCAGCCTAGGCACTAGAGGCAGGTCAGCTAGTTTGGATGGATAAGCACTGGCCAGACTGCACTTGCCTCCAGAAGGATCCAGTGAAAAGGTGCATTCGCTGCCTGGATGCACAGGCTCTGGTCCTCCCCCACGTGAAAGGATTAGGTCATCAGATGAGCTGAGGGCAGGCGGGCCTCAGGGGATGGGAGAGTGGCTTCTTCTGCCTGAACTACTTTTAATGGCATATCTAGAAGGTGTGTTTTTGCGCATGCTGCAATCTCTTATCCATGAATTATTAAAAAGCTAAGTGACTTTGGTCTCCAGCTGCCTTCTCTTCCTGGCAGGGTGTAATTCCGAAGGTAGACATCTTAGGTTTGACTCTTTCATATCCAGGACTCAGACTTCACCTCTCAAATCCTTGTTCAGATGCTGAACAGCAGAGCACACAGGGCAGGCCCCTGTAATGGAACAGAGATATAGACAAGGCTAACAGGTGGTGGTGGTGGCGGAGTGGAGGGGGAACCAAGTCACCTGCCCATCCACTAATGATCCATTCACATGGGCCAAGAACCTCCTGGCAGAAGAACCTGAACAATGTCAGTAATCAGAGCTCTGACACATAAACAAGGCATGTTTTGTGAACTGAAGGTAAGTCCACAGGGGCGTATTCACAGAGTCTAGAGAAGCACCAGGCACAGTGCAAACGTCACACACATCATAATAGCAAATACACTCTTAGCCTTACTTGGGCTAGGCATTGTTCTAGGCATTTTACATAAATGAACTCACTTAACTCTTAACAATGTCATGGGGAAGCATACTATATGTTTTGGGTGCCACACCACGGCCTCTACTCTCACCTCTGATTTCAGTCCAGCTGTGATGGGGAGCTCCCCCTTGGACAGGGGCCCTCAGGCATGTGCCCATGGCTTGCCCTTCTCCACCCTCAGGACCCACTGAAGCTGCAAAAGCCAGCTCAGCCCTCTGAAGGGCAGGGCACCTGGGTCCCACTCTGGGCAGCTCTCGACCAAGGGGGGCTGGGAGCTGTGGATGAGTGCTCCTGCCTCCTTCATTCAGGAGAACATCTTGGGGGCTCTGCACACTTCTTGGAGGTCGCAGCACAACTGGGCTCCCAATGCAGAGGCAGTGCTCTTGATGACACACCCTCATGATGGTGCTTGCCTCCTTCCCTGCTCATCTTCCTGCCACCTCACTCCTGCCTCCTGGGATCCTTTTCCAAATTTGTGACCTGCACCCAAGTTCTTGTCTCAACTCTGCTTGCAGGGAAACCCAAAACAAGACAAATAGATCATTATCACCTAGATGTTATTATTTTACAGATAATTGGTCCACGATGAATATTTGCTGTTGACCAAATGAATTAATGAATGTGAGGTTGGGGTGGGAGGAGAATGATTTGAGCCAAATATCAAAAAAGGAAGGCAGGTCCTTAAATGGGAGCCAAAGAGGGAGGACGTCATATCAGCTGTTTCCTGCCCCTGGGCCTGAGGGGTATCCTGACATGGCTGCTGAGGATCCGTGCGGACCACAGCAGAAATGGGTGTGGCTTCTAGGAGTAGCTAAACTGGCTATCCCACTGAAATCTGAGGCTCTTGGGGCCCAGGTAGCCTGCTGCATGTCCTGTATCACAGAGTATAGCCCAGGGGAGCGAATCTTCTCTCCTCACAGGGCACAGTCAGGCGCCACAAGGGCCGAGAGCATCAGCAGCTGATTAAGCTGCAGAGATCTGCTTCTGACGGCCTCTCCTGGGTGAGACCAGTGGCGCAGAGGATCTCAGGCAGCTGTGGCAGACTGGGAGGACTGTACAGCAGCAGGTGGCTCAGTCTGGAAGATGGGGGATGGAGCTGGGAGACCTCCAGTCCTCCAAGAGAGGCTGCAGGAGAGTGTCCACCCACCAGAAGCCCAGACAGGAGTGCTGGGGTTTCTCAGCGTGGCCAGCAGCCCCCTACAGGCCTGCAACAACACAGTGGCCACCAATAACCTGGTCTAATTCATAAGTCCACATAAGCTATTCTTGGAGACTCCCAGAAGTACCTTGAGGTGGGGCTTGCAAAAGACTGGAGTTCCTGTTAACAATTAATGTGACATAGTTTTCTCCCATGAACGGTGAGGCTGAGGAACAACTAGTTACAATACTGTAACTTAAATATAGATATTTAATATTGTATTTAATTTATATATATTATATGTCAATATTATATATAATTTAATATATATAATAAATATACCTACAGCTCCTCGCACTGCCCTCGTTGGTGGAAGTGTGACTACAGTTTCTGAAGACAGACTGCCTAGGCTAGAATCTCAGCTCGGCCACCTACTAGCTGTGTGGAGGGACATGTCTATAACACATTTGCCTCTTTCGTAAAATGTGTATAATATTAGTCACTTCCAAGGCATTTGTCACGAGATTCTGCATCTAGAGCTCTTAGCGCATAGAGTAATCACTCAATACCTGTTAGAGAACATTACTGCCGTCAACACAGACACTACCCTCCACTTCTCAATTCTCAACTAAGGATATGATAGTGAATATTGATTATTTTACTTGGCCATCCAACCTCTGAACCCCCTTTTTATTTGGGAAGTTCCCCCACAAGTCCTCATTGTCTTCAGTGCCTGCCTGCCCTTGTAGACAGTGACAATGACAGAAACTAGCATTCTCAGAAGACTTTGCAAGTCAGGGCACAGGCCACCTCCAGGACCCACTGACCCTGTTCCCACGCTGGGCTTTGACTCAGGAGCTAGAAGCAGGAATGGTGGAGTTCTTTCTCTCCCTCTCTGCTACAGGTTCAAGTTTGTGGCACAGAGGCAGCAGCAATGTCACCCAGGGTTCAATGGCCACAGCAGCAGAAGTTTCTCCAGACCCCTCTGCCATGTGATTCTGGATGTTGCTCCAGTCTGCTCATCTTCCACTCCGTCATCGCCCTTCAGCTGACTCTCTAGATGCACAGTGTCCTTTCCATCCAACTCTCTTCTGCTTCACTCAGCAGAGGTTGGCTTCTGATGCCTATAACAAAGAACCATGACTGATATGACTACATTGCAACGTAACCACGCTACAGCCTGGAGCTCACAATGCCTCTCCCTCTGAGTGCCTCCAAGAGTCACCAGCAGTCCTGTATTTCTAAATCTGAAGCCAGTGCAAACCATGACTCATGAGGACCTCATGGTTTCTTACCTGCCTTACTGAGACAAGTCTCCTCTCAGCCCAGCCTCCACGCTGCCGTCAGAGCAATGCCTATAGAACACAGATGTGGACCCACCACCCCCTCCTTCACTGGCTCCTCCGAGTCTTCAAAGCACTAAGGGCACCCAAAGCGTCCATGGTCTCTTCTGACTACTTTTCAGTTGCATCTCCTTCCACCATCCAGCCTCTGCCTCCAACACACAAGCTCACACCTGTACAAACACACCATGTCCCATTGCTCAGCTCACAGGACATGCCAAGCACTGAGGTCTACGTATCCTTCATCCATCAAGACATAGTTCAAAGTTCATCCCCTCCAGGAAGCTTTCCCTTCCTCTTATAGATTACATATTAGAGACCTCTGGGCATAGATTTATTGTCAAACTTTTCAAACTCATTGATAATTGTAAGTCTACCCTGTGATTCCCTGACGAGGATTGTGTCCTTCATATCTGTATCCCAGTACCTAGAGAGGGTAAGCATTTGGTCAATGTCTGCTGAATTACTGAAGGAGAAATTGTTATGTCCATGTTCCCTTCCTCCCTCATGTCCCCTCGACCCTTTGTTTTGGCCTCTGTCTGGTCTTCATTCTGTTCTGCAGTGATTACTGGTAAGCACATTTTTTCCATCTTGGGCATTACTACCAAGAGTCATATATCTGATGTTTGTGAACTTGCTTTAATCTAGATCAACACAGTGAGCTGGCCTCCTGTGTTGCTCACATTTACCTCCCTGCAGAGTTTTTGAAAGCCTGTCCAAACACATTTAGGGTTTCTCTTACTCTTCCTCCCCGAGGTGAGTGGGCCCCACCAGCCCTTATCCACAAAGCCTCCTTAGCTCATGAACTTGGGACTTGACCATCTTCAGAGTGAGAGAGAGTGGTACCAAACTCTGCTGGAGTGCCCAAGAGAGCCCAGTCTATGACAGGGCTGGAAGGGGCAGGGATAGATGGCCTTGGACCAAGAACGCAGAGCTCTGGACCATCTTCCCGGTTTGGTGGGATCTGGGCTGCCCAGCTCTTTTTCTGAGGTTTCCTGGATATGTCCAGGGTCTTTCCAGTGACATATCTGGATCTACCATCCCCAAGGAAATCAGGAAAAGAAGGCACCAAGAAACTCCACCTAGAAACCTGCAGGTATGTATATACAAGAGGTGTAGAGACACATAGACTCACTTACATCTGTGCTCCACAGTTTTTGTTTTAAAGCAACCTAGAACAAAACTACCACTACTCCTCTCTTTATGCCTCCTCTCAACTCATTGCATCCTGAGTCACCTGCAATACAGCCTGGTGGGCCCCCAAAGTACTGTGTTCACAACTCCAATTTATTCTACCCCAGAAACAGTTCTACTTCCTGTCCCCCTCTCCCTCCTTCTTCTTCCATTCTCTTCTGTAGGCAGTGAAGTGAGGCACATGGTTACCCTCAGCCTCAGCTTATTCATCTGTAAAATGGGACCAATAATACCTATTTTGCAAAGTTGGTAATGGGATAACCAGGCTAGGACTCTAAAAGACACCCCATAAAATGTTGATCTTTTGCTTTTCTTGACTCTGACCCCAGCAGCCCAGCAGCCTAAGGCTCACAGCATCCAGCGCCTTATCTGGCAGCAGCCCAGGAAGGGTCAGCACTAGCAGGTAAGAGAGGAGAGAGAGAAGAGCCAGTGGACGGGTGAGGATGCCAGGGATGAGAAATGATTGAGCTGTTTTACAGCAGAGGATGATGCTCCCAGGCTTGGAGGAGTGGTCCCTGGGCCACACCTGTCATAAAGCATCAGGAATCATCTATCCACATCAAAGCAGTCAATTCCTTAGTCTCTGAGTGTTTAAATCATGAAGACAATCAATACTGAGCTTTGAATGCTGCAGCAGTCCTTCATCCAAGGGCTCCTGGGGGACCACAAACAAAGCAGGTTGCCAGTCAACTCCTGCAGATGGGCTGTGTTGGCCCACTCCTCTAGGAGCCAAGTTGCATTCTGGGTGTCAAGGGTCAAAACTATGCTCCCATTAGTGACATCTCCATTTCTCTGGTGATTTTGCCTAACAAGGTGGCAGAGTCCCTGCCTCTATGCACTTGTGGAACTGGATTTCCACCTTCTTAGGTCAGATTCCCTAGAGGCAGAGCATGCCAGCAACCTCGATGTGCCCATACCCTCAATGACGATTTCCATCTCTAAAGTACTTATAGTCTGTGAAGGTTTTGGCACACAATATCTCATCTAAATCCTACAAAATCGTTCTGTGAAGTAGGCAGAGCAAGAATGCTTTCCCTCATTTGAGAAAGTAGAAAATAATATTTACAAAGAGTAAGTGGCATCCAGCATGTAATTCTCAGGGCTGGGACGCCAGCCCTGGGCTCTGTCAAGACTCCAAGACTGGGTGTCTCCATTCCCTGCTCATAATCGAGGTTTTAAATTTCTACTACTGGACCTCTCTCTCCCCTGAGTTCTTAAATAGTCCTGCTTCTCTGACACCCTGCACACAGGGTTATCAGAGCATTCAGCCCATTCGCTTATCAGTCCCACCACCTAGACTGACATCTTATCTTGGCATCTGTATAGCACCAGTGTCTAGTATAATCCCACTTTCAAAATGACCTCCATCGACTGAAGCAACGGTAGGTATGGCTGAAGAGTGACCAAGAACAGGCCATGCATGGCCTCGAATGCCAGGCAAAGGAAATGACGCTTAATCATATAGAGTGGAGATAAAATGAAGGTCTTAGGCAGGGCTGTAGCATAATCAGATTTGCATGACAGAATCCATATGGGTCTGTGTGGAAGATGGCAGGAAGGAATCTCCCATCACTATTTTAAAATAAGACACTTTAAACATGAAAGTGTTTTTGCTGAGGAAATTGTATTATCATAGGGGAGCTTGAAGAGGGGGTAGATCCAGAATTCTCTAACCTAGAATTCAAGACCGTCCATGAATGATCATTCCCCCATCCCTTCCAGCCTTAAGTACCCCACTTGCTGTTTTGTACTCTAGTCATTTCAAGCAACTTACAATTTCTGAAAAGGTTATGCCAATTCCAGACATCACACTTTTGCCCACGCTGTTGTCTCTGCCTGCAATGCCTTCCATTCCCATCTCCCTGGGAAATCCCTATTCAGTGTTCACAGCTAGGGCAAATTCTAGGTCTCTTACTGTCACTTAGGCCACTCCATAAAGGACTGCTGATGAGGTTGGGTCAGTTTTGAGTGCACTTATTGGGACTAAAGGCGGAGCTTTTGAGGTAACCAAGGAAGGTCAAAACGCGAAGACTTCGAGAAGTTCAGTGGCCAGAATGAACTCCATCAGTCCTCCGTCAGTGCTCCGTCAGTCCAGAGTTTACTTGGAGATTGGTCAGCACCGAAAAAATAAAAACAAAATAAAATAAAATAGATTGTGAAGGCAGATATCCAGGTACCTCAGGTCCCCTCAATCCTTATTCTCTCAGGAGAAGCAGAGAAGAGGAAATTGTACAAGTTACACTGCCATCAGCAGCGTTCGAGAGTGTCAGTTTCTCTACATCCTCATCACTTGGTATTTTCTGGGTATTTCCTCCATCTCTGAAGCACTGAGGTACTGTTTGCCATGCAGAATTTTGGGAACTGAAGTTTTCTCCTCTTTGTCACATTTTAGTGATGGTTTACTCTCTTAGTAGCCTTTGTAGACTGGCATTCCAACTCCATGTGCATAATGGGCCATTCCTTTCCTTCTTAGCTCTAAAAAACAAACACACAGAGGTAGCCAGATTATGTTCCCACTGGGCTGGCTCTAATTTTCTCCTTTTCTCTGCCTCTCTAGAGAGGTGCAAGTAAGAGTGCAGTTATCATAGACATTCCTTTAGATCTGTCCCACTTTTTAAATAAAGCATTTACAAGCATCAGTTCCTTAATAATTACTGGTAACAAATTCCTTGGTCACACCCCACTGACACTGTAGGTTTGCCAACAACCAGCTGTGTGATCCTGAACAATTTCCTCCCCGTCGCACCACACTCAGATCTGGGCAAGTAAGTGGAGCCCCTGCTCCAATCCCCATGCCTCAGCACCCTACCCCTGCCCCCTTGCTTTGGAATGCCTTCCTTAAGGCATTCCTAAGAACAATTTAGTACTTGGAACCAGCCAGGGCCAGCACTACTAACTGAACAGAGTATCCTAAGCATGGACTGGGAACCATTGGGCCCCAATCCCTATTTCTTCCTTTCAGAATGCTCTCTGACCCTCTTTCCCATGGGTAGAGTTGAACTGATGCCCCGAGGAGCTCCAGGACTCACGCTTATGTGTAAGGCCAGCTGATGAGCAGACTGTTCCCACTCGCTGTCATGGTATTTCTTTTAAAGGATCACACAAGACTGGGCTGCCAGAATGTTGCTGATATGCTGATTTGAGGTGACTCTCACTTACACCAGACATAGGAGAGGTCAGGGCTCTGGACTTCCACCAGTTCACCATCAACCGTTGGCCTTAGGTTCTGTGCGTGGGCCGCTGGGTTGGGTTTCATCCAATTGTGCTCTGACTACAGTGTTCCCTCCAGTCTATAGCTCCTGAGGGCAGCAGGGATAGTTACTCTGTGTACCGCCTGCTGTGGGCACCCAGGGCAATCACCACAACCCCTCTGCAGGCTCTGCTCCCTGTCAGGCAGCCCTCTAGCGTCGGCTGCACCTGTCTTCTCCAAGGGTTTTCAAGACTGTTACTCCACAAAGCCACTGGGCCTGTTGGATCAACGTCCTCTTTTCCCATCAATCAATGTAGTGACATCGTGATCTCTCAGGTCAGTGGTAAGCCACGCTGGACAAGAGATGGCGATTCCCTACACTAACGGCTCCATGCAT